AAAAAAAAAAACAGTGAGAGAAAAGGACAGACAGAATAATTGAAGCACCACAGAAAGACACACTCACCCCTTTTCCCATGTTCGTTGATAATGAACTGATGCCCAGATTTCTCCCACTCTCGCCTCACACGTGTGGAAGACACTGGTGGCTTTTTTTGGAGGTAACAAACCCTCCTTCTCAACCTGATAACACACACACACACACAAAACTTGTTCTCTCCCCACATTTGTGCCTCAGGGTAACCCGAAGCTCACTCCCCACCCCCTTATAAATACACACACACACACTCACACGACACAACCTTCATGCCCGTGGCTGTATACCTGCACCTGCTACCACTTTCCTCTTCTTTCTGTCTGACACACTTATATTATCACTATTTATTTTATGCTTGTTAGCAGGGCAGAAGAAGCGAGACAGGTTGAATTCAGGCTTGAGGATTTTTTCCCCCCCAACTAAATCAAGCCTTGAGACTGTGGGAACTACAACTGTCGTCAATGCCTCTGCCAGTTCCATTAAGACCAGGACTGGAGAGAGCAGCTGCTCTCCTGACCCTGCCGTGCCCGAGAGCGATACTTGGCTGACGCAAAAATCAGTGATAAATCACATGAACTTCACGTGCTACACTATTTATTGTCTCTGTGGAGGACATATTATACTTTTTTTTTTTTTCACAGGCTGACGATATATAGTTTAAAATGTGTCCTGTGCTCTGGTTATAGTGTTACATATTATTATGTTGTTGATGATGTAGTTTACTGTTTACTGTATTTCTTCTCTTGAACACTTGACAGAGATGGATAAATATCCAAAAAACACTTGCACAGTGTAATATATTTCTTTCAATTGTGTACTTACATCATCCTAAATGTTTCCAAGAATTTGTAAATTCAGAGAAATTCACAATTTTAAACAGCGCATGTCCCTTGTCAATGATGTAATACCCGTATTATCCCTGGTTTTCACTTGTCCTGCTATGGTAACCATGACGACAGATGCGGACAACCGTGTAATGTTTAGTGGCATGCTGTTGTTGTTTTGTTCAAACATTATGGATCATGGCAACCAGACTTTGGGACAAAAGGAATAGAAATAAACAGCCCATTCTCACCCCCAAGGCTCACCTGACGCCTTGGGAAGCATTTTGACTATGCTTCAATATCTGACGCTTTAGGCGCCCTTTAGCATCAGTTAGATGACGCCCTAGGATCGCGTGATCGCGCGACCTAAACCATCTAACGGACATCTAAAGTCATCTAACTAACGCTAAAGTAAAGCGTCAGTTAGATGACGCCGTAGGATCGCGTCATGTAACTGACGCTAAAGGAAAACGTCAAATATGCATGGTCAAAGGTGACGCCTTGGGGTGAGAATGCGTTGAAATAAAACGAGGATCAATATTGGCAAGGCGTTTTCAAGCATCGTACCACAGTCATGTTAAAAAACATAAATGTTTTCACTCATCCACAAACATTATTTGATTCATCAGCATGACAGCAAGTTCTATGATTCCACTTATTCACTGCATCATCAATCTACGCCTTTTTTATTGTAAGAGGTTAGCGACCCCTGGCTAGCGGTGAAAAAAAATTACATATTGTAGGTTTAACACCACTGTGGCCAGCAACACTAGTCTTAAAAGTTAGAAATCTAAGTCAGTTACATAAAAAGGTAGAGGAAAAAGTAATCTGAGGAGTATCAGAATTATAAAAATTGAAAATTAAGACTGATTACCTCTTATATTAACACAGTCTCATCCCAAGTCGTCATATGACTGACGTCTTTTGACCATACGTCAACATCCACCTTACCCTTAAATGACGGTTAGTTGACGATCCCGGGCCTATCTGACTGCTAGTTGGCCAAAATTGTGCTTAAAGTCATATTCACCCAAAAATGAAAAATATTTCATTAATTACTCAGCCTCGTGTCATTCCAAATCAGTAAGACTTTCGTTCATCTGATGTTTCCCACGATAATCTTTCTATACTCAGGGCTTCAGATTTTGAATCACCATGGTTTGAATCAATCCCTCCTCTCTTCCTTCTCTGCTAATGTCTCTGTAATGTCTTGACTAACTTACTACCACAACAAAATGAACAATTCTTCTGCCTCTCACATGCTTTTCAAAACCTTCTCTCTTCTAAACCCTCATTCCCCTTCATCAACCCTAACAGCTAATGACTTTGCCACATTCTTCATAAATAAAATAAACACATTAGCAGCCAATTTTCCACACCACAATTTGACACAGACATCTTAACAGCTAACACACATCAGGGAGAAGTCTCGAAACCCATCCTTTCCAATCAACCTTCTGTCCACTTGATCCTGTTTCTTCCTCAGTTAACACTACTCTTCATACTGGTACCTTTCCAACAGCATTTAAGCAGGCTCAGGTAACCCCACTGCATAAGAAACCCACTCAAAAATACTAGACACATCTAGAAAATTACAGACCGTTATCCCTTTTTCCATTCTAATACACTTGAATGAGACCAGTCTCTACCTTTCTTGCACAGAATAACCTCCTGGACAACAACCAGTCTGGTTTCAAAAGTGGCCACTCAACTGAGACTGCCCTGCTCTCAGTTACTGAAGCTCTGAGGCATGAGCAGCTTCCAAATCCTCAATACTCATCCTGCTGGGCCTGCTGCTTTTAACACCATTAAACACCAGATCCTCCTGTTAATCCTCAAGACGAAGGGCATCTCAGGAAATGCACTCCAATGGTTCAAGTCTTACCTCTCAAGTCGATCCTTCAGGGTGTCATGGAGAGGATAGGTGTTTAGTCGCAACAGCTACTGGGGTGCTTCAGGGCTCAGTGCTTGGACCACTTCTCTTCTCCATCAAAATGTCATCGTCACTGATCTGTCATCCAGAAACATGTTGTTTCTTATCACTGCTATGCTGATGACACACAACTCTACCTCTCATTCCATACATCTCATGATCTGAAGGCAGCTGCTCGCATCTCAGTCTGCTTGACAGACAATTCTTGCTGGATTGGCCACCACCTTCAACTGAACCGTGTGAAGACAGAGCTGCTTGTTGTCCCTGCCACCCCAACACTACACCACAACTTCTCCATTCAGCTAGCTTCGTCAACAATAACTCTATCCAGGACTGGATTGTCAATTGTTGCTTGCATAAAATGCAAGGCCCGACACCCATACCTAAACTCATAAAGACCTATGTTCCATCTAGAAGCCTGCGTTCTGCAAGTGAACAGCAACTTGTGGTGCCATCTCAAAAAGCACAAAAACCTTCATCTAGACTCTTCCCTGCTGGTGGAATGACATGCCGAGCTCTATCCTTTAGCCATTTTTCAGCAATTTGAACCATTAATACTAAAACGTACTATTCTATTTCTATTTTAAAAACAACAACAACCTTGCTATGTGTACTGCTGGACTAACTTGCGATGATCACGGCACTTGCATATTGTTGTCCTATAGTTTGATTGCTTGCTCTCTTCATTTGTAAATTGCAAAAAAGTTGCTAAATGATTAAATGTAAATCTTTGGAACACAACCCAGATATTTTTTTATGTAATCTGAGATAGAGCTGTGAAACAATTATTCGCATCCAAAATATAAGTTTGTGTTTACATAATATATGTGGTGTATAATTATTTTATATATATATATATATATATATATATACACACACACACATGCATGTATATATTTAAGAACAATTTGTTATATATATATATATATATATATATAAATAAATAACATTTCTATCTATAATATAAATTATAAATATACATGCACGTGTGTGTATTTATATATACAAATTAATTATACACTGTTCACACATACTTTTAAACACATACTTTTATTTTGGATGCGATAAATCCCGATTAATCATTTCACAGCCCAAATCTGAGAGCTTTTTGTCCCTCCATTGACAGCTACACAACTATCAATATGTCCCTTCAAAAAGTCAATAAAGAGATCATAAAACCAATCCATATTGGATTGACATATGCACAAGATATTGGTGAGCAACCTTGTTGCCACATGCTATTCTCTTTACAAAAAAAAAAAAAAAAAAAAAAAAAACTCATCCAGGGAACTGTTATGTTTACTGGGTGAAATCACGCAATACACATAATACTGTTATTATTTATCGGTTTGTGACATTTACTGCCGATGTCTCCAAAATTACATTAAATTTCTCTTTTACTCTAAACTCATCTGCGGGTTATTTAGACCATTCTATCAAAACACACACACACACACACACACACACAAGGGATCTGATTTTTTTTATTGATGTTTTTCTGAAATTATTTGAATTTGACATTTTTCTTTTTACAAGACATTTTACAGAAAATCAAAGTTAGCTTGGTTAAAGTCAAAATAAAAGTAAAAAATAATTAGACGTTTTAAATGGAGTTTGGAGAGAAAACGGTTAAATAGACCTGTACCAATACATACAACATGGGAAATCCCCGATATTTAAACAGTTTAATGGCAGGTACCATGTGGCTGCTCGACATTTACTCTGAGATGCATAAAAAGCATCTGACTGTACTCTACAACTTTTCCCAGCATTCCCGATGTGAGCCCCTGTCTGGCTCGAGGTTGACATCCATGAAGACTTGAAGAGAAAAAACACATCCTGCGAGATTGAGATGTTTATCGGACTTTGGCTTGACTTTTCACCTGAATATGAAATCATTCCAAGTCCACATCTCAGTATTTAATAATTTATATCACTCTCCCTAATGCATCACTTCCTGTGACCTTAGCATGCCAACACCATGATGGAAACACTTTTATGAAGAAACAACCACATAAATTCTGCCATGTCAGTCAAATGAAAGTGCAGAAATATTATTAAACATCATTAAACTATTACATTTCTGCTTCCGACACACAAACAGTCCCAGGGTGCTGATGCACAGCTTGTCATTACTAACGACGACATGACAAATATTGCTACAATGTTGTTTTTACGTTGTTTTTTTCCCCTAACATGTTGACAGGTTACAGACATGTCATCAGACTACAAACATACACACATCTATCATGGTCAGCAGAGAGCTAGATAAATTAACTTTTTTTTTTTTTTTTTTGCAAAGTCTTTGACAATGTGGCCAAATGAAAAATGTTCTCATGTGGGCAGCAGGGGGCAGGAGAGAGTGCTGGGGTTTTCTTACCAGCAGAAACAGGGAATGAGAAGTGGAGGTGGTGGATGAGTGTTTGGGATAGTTATAGGAGGATTAGAGAGAGGTGAAGTAAATCTAGGACTGAGGATGAGTGATGGCCCTGACTAATGATATGTTTTGAGGGGGGTTCCACCATAAGAGCCGGCCCTCATTGGACAGTCGTTTAAAAAGGGACAGAAGGGATTCAGAGACCGTTTTCCAGTTAAAAGTGAGTGTTAAAATTGTCAGACAACAGCTTATGGAGACAGGCGTGAGAATCTGGCTTAGAGTATCAAGTAACTCTCTCTCACAGTGTGTGTGTTTGAGTGTCTCTGCCAACAGTATCGACGTCATTTTGGGTTTTCAGTCACTGTGGTCGGAGTAAAAACAAAGTACAACTCTTAGTCAAACTTGTAAATGGAATGGCTGTAAACTACGTAAAAAAAAAACGTTTTGGGAAGGCACTTAAAACTGTATGATGGGATGCATGAGATGACGCTATGAGTGTTAGCGTGTGTTTGAGAAAGTATGGACACATTTTAATTGTGAGAAAGTGCATGTGTGTAATTCTATGGAAAAAAAAAAGAATACTAGTGCTATATTTAGCTCTCAGTAAATGAAGGGCGGGGAGGGGGGCTACTTTAGGGGGCCGGCCTACAGGAAGTGATGTAATAGCACCAGTATATCAGATGAAGAGAAAGGTAAATTTATAGATGGAAATGTAAAAAAAAAAAAAAGAAGACAAAGAGTGTCAGAAATGCTATACAGAAGAGAGATTAGAGGATAGGAAGACCAAAGACAGAGAAAAACAGAGTGATAGGCAGTAAAACAGAGAAAAACAGAAAGAGAGGGAGGGAACAAGAAAAAGACAGTTAAAATAAAGTTTCCAAAATAACTGTTCAGCAAGAATACAAAGTGTGAAAAGTGTGCAGCTAGGATTGTGTATAAGACTGCATGTGTGTAAAGACAGAGAGAGAGAGAGAGAGAGAGAGAGAGAGAGAGAGAGAGAGAGAGAGAGAGAGAGAGAGAGAGAGAGAGAGAGAGAGAGAGAGAGAGAGAGAGAGAGAGAGATTGATGGCTGAGCGGTCTGTCACTCAACAAGAGGAAATCTTCACCATTCTGCCACCATTACAGCTCTCAAAATCACAAGTGTCAGTGTGTGTGCAATGGGCGGCTCTCAGCTCTGGGTTTTTGTTGTGAATGTGTGATGTTGTTGAAGTGATGTTATTTTTAAGACTGTTCAAACCAGGTGCAATGCAACAACTTTCAGGCAGTAAGTAATTTGTCTGTACTCCCTGAAAACACAAACTTTAAGATTTAAAAGTGGGGCTCAAAGGTCCACACTTGAAATCTAGAATTTAAAATCTAATTTATTTCTAGATTCTAACAGAGTTATGCAGATTAATATTTTTTTTTTTAAATCTCGTCACAGCTGCGCAATATATTTTTTCTCCAAAATAGAGACAAAGCAAACATTAGACGAGAATCTAAAAATTAACTTTTTAATCACCTCTTCACCCTTAAATGATGCTGATAATATAATCATGATGGATTTTTTTTTCATTAAAGAAGAAAAACAAGAAGCTTTTCAGATTTTTGTGCTTAATTGTGTTGCACCTGGATTGGACACAGATTCGTTTTTTCTTTGAGATGTGTTTTTTGGGAAAGTTTGGGATTATAATGAGAAAAACTTCACCCCTCTCCTGTCCTCCTGTATTTAAGGATTTATATTTCACTCCTCTCCTCCAAAACTCTCCACCACCCCCTCTTTTCATACCCGTCTCTCTTACTTGAGAGCGAATTTGTGAGCGAGTTGAGAAAAGAACGCTGCGGGACTTGTTTTAGTTTGCCCTTTCTCTCTCTCCTGTTTAGTGAGCTCTAGCTCAATGGTCATAAGAACCCTGTCCTGCCTGCCCAACTCTGCTGCCTCGTCCTGGGCTTGAGCCTGGGTCGAGGCCGCCCCACTCAGGGGCTCTAGCTCTCTGCTCCACAATCCCTATTTCTTCTCCCTGCGAGACTCCTGTTTCTTCTTCTCTGATGCTGCTGCCTTCAGCTTGGCCGGATCCATCACAGCTGAAGCCTGGAAAAGAGAGGGAGTGTGGAGAGGGGAGGAGTGAGTCTCTATGGGAGGAGAGCAAGAGAGAGAGAGAGGTATAGAAAGAAAGCAAGAAGCAAAGAGAGAAAGGAAGAAGAAGGGCATGTGGGTTAGGTGGGAATGGAGTTTATCGGATATGAGGAACCAGAATAAGGGAGGTAGTTTCATTACAGAAGAGAAGTAGAAGAAGAAAAGAGAGAGTGAAATGCTAAACAAGTGGTTAGAAGGAGATGAACACCAGGGGAACTTTCGGTTTCTGGAAAGGGAGGACAAAACAGGAAGTGGCCAGTTAGGGAGTGACAGCGTGACATCACAGCACCTAAATAAAAGAACTCATACAGCTGACCATTGACTCCTTCACCCTCGGGATGCTGGAACACGTTTGATTATCTTTTGATTCACTGTCTGTCAGAAATGTAAAAGTCAAGGTCAAACTCAATTAAAGGTGAAATTAATCATTTTTCCAAGTAAAACGTTGTACTCCCTGAACAGAGTCCTGTTTGTTAAAACAACGAAAGGGTGGGTTTTTGGAAAGACATTGGCCCTCATTTATCAATCTTGCGTAGAAACGGGTGAATGTGTTGGCGTAAGATTATGCTTACACTCCTCTCACCGCCTGATTTATGAAGCTGTGCATACATTTGAAATCCAGGTGTACGCAATGCCTGCCCTTGATAAATCCCGCGGCCGAAAACGATCATCATTAGAACGACACGCCCCTAAATATTTAAGTCTCCGCTCCCCCCACGCCCTCATTTTACTCCATGGACACACGGAAGACGGCAAAGAAGAGAAACTTCTCTGACGTGGAGCCGAAATGACCTATCACAATGCATTATTTTACAGCACGTCTTTTGAAATTAGCATTCAATTTCGAATCACGTCACAAATTATAGTGATGATGATGATGATGATGTGTTGAGAAGTACCATTCATTCACATTAATAATTGCATGACAATTTGTATAGGATTCTTCTTATTATTATGATTTGTATTAATGATGCTTATTGTTATTTAGAAGAAGGATGTCGTTATTATTATTTGTATTATTATTATCATTTAAAAGAAGAAGAACGTATTTTTTATTATTTTGTCAGTCATTGAAAGCCTTTCATTAGGCTACCGAACCCAGTCCGTGCGCACCTGCCGGGGATAATCCTGAAACGTCAGGGTAAAGCGGGCTCGCAACTGAAATATGCTTACAAATCAAATGCTTTGGTAAAGTCACACAAATTAAACATTGAAGTCCACGTTACACAAAAATAAACACTGAAGTTTATAATTACTATGTTGTTTTTTTTGTTTGTTTGTTTGTTTTACAGTGGGTCATAATATACATCTTTTAGTTTGTCAGTGCGTTTTGTGGTGTTAGGAATTTTTCTGCGCATTTCCTCACTAACTCAAAACGTGCGTACACCACCTCCTGAGCTGGCGTAGGATTCGAGCGTGCCGTACGCCAACGTCCATATTGATAAAGAGTGTACGCAAGGTGTACGCTGGAAATTTGGTGTACGCACTTTTGATAAATGAGGGCCATTGTTATTATTTTTTCCAGTGCTGTTTGATAACTGCTAGTAGTGCAGAAATTATACACTTCACCTTTAAATTTTAATATTCCAGAATATAAACAATTTAAGCTCTCATTCAAAATTGATTTCTTTCGACAGAACTTGTTTATAACCAAATAAATATTCCTTTAAAGTTCTTTGTGATGTCAAATCTATAAATAAGTTCAAGAAAGGCTTACAATAACTGTACATTTGACATTTTTAAGCAGCAAGTTTCCACAAAGGAAACTCCTGAGATCTTAGTTCTAGTCTTTAGCACTCAACCTGCATTCAGTTGAATGGATATTGTAGGGTGGACTGGGACTGGTTTACACTGACAGAACCAGGAAAATAAAGAAATGAAAGAGAAAGAGAGAAGCTGACAGGAAACACATACAGTGGAGTACAAATACAGGAACGTATACTGAAACAGATAACTGAAAGAAAGAAGAAAGGCAATAAAAAGAGAAAGAACATAAATAATACAAGATGGGACATCTGCTAGTTTGATCCTGTAAGAGATGAGATGTGTGCAAGGAAGGAAGAGGCTTGATTGTACAAGATAGTGTTTGTCATGATGTAATAGATGATAAAAGCACATACATGATTCAGTGCGACAGCATTTCACTGTTCACCTGCGGAGAGAACGGCGGCCAGCGGAAAAGAGAGGGGGCGAGACTGCTAGAGGAGAAAAATCAGTGACATGGAGGATGTGAAGGATAATGGTGTGGAAAAATAAAGAAAAATAAAAAATTAAGTGGTATATAAATGAATGGCATGTTAGCACAGTAAAAGATGTATGAGCTCCAGTTGGCTGCCAGCTCAATAACATTGATGTGGTGGTCCCCAAGTCCACAGGATTATAGAGAAGAGCCGGAAGTATTCTTAAATCTCCCACAAATTATACTGTTATAGCGTAGCCTAATATTTAATTATCCTCATGGGTTATTGAACATGCAATTGTAGTCTACGGTATGTGATGGCAACAAACAAGCCTGTGTGCTCGCATCCTTCAAAGCATGTAGTTGACACCATTCCTACATCCCAAATGTCCCCTGCTTCTATTTTTGATGAGGTACAGCTACTCAAGACTAAACATGCACTGTATTACAAATATGTTTTCATGCATTGCAAATGAGGCTTCATAAACTGGCATGCAGACAGGAGCACAAACACTGAGGTAGATGTACTGTAGCTTTACCTGGAGTTTCGCCTGCCATTGGCCAACTGACATTTCTCTATAGTGCTTATTTTTATTGTTATATTTTTGTCTTTATTAGGCCTACACACACACACATAGAGTACATTACTTGTCAATTTTTTTGCTTTTTATTTACATTCTTTTGTTTTTGGAAATAAGTCTCTTATGCTCAACCAAGGCTGCATTTATTTGCTCAAAAATATAGTAAAACAGTAAAATTGTGAAATATTATTACAATTTAAAATCAGTATATAATTCTTTCTAAAGAATTGTGTGACACTGAAGACTGCTAAAAATTCAGCTTTGTAATAACTGGAATAAATTAAAAATATATTAAACTGAAAACAGTTCTTTAAATTATTGATGGGGAAGCTCAGTCCTAGAGGCGTTTAGCTCCAAGACTAATCTAACCACATGAACCAGAAAATCAATGGACGCATCCGAAATCGCATATTGTCAGAGTAGGGACTACATTTGAATTTGAAATTACTTCATGTTAAACAATCTGCTCCATGAATATGGGTAGCATGAAGAAAATTCTTCCATGTTGTTACTGTCACATGACCTACCAGCGTCAGTTGCGTCACATCACTGCCATTCATAAATCCTCTCCCTTGGCCTCATGGGATAGTTAAGTGTCCAATCTGGGTGGAAGCAGTGGGTCACTCGGTACATTTCGGCTACTGTTTTTCGAATACTATGTATTCGGGCATACTATACGGTTGTTTTTTCACATACAATATAGTAAGGAAGCATTTGATTTCTGAAGCAGCGAATGTCTATCTATACTAAAGGATTACTAGAAGGCTACTTGCAGTGCTGGGTAGATTTGTGAGTTGTAGTTAGTAAAAAAAAAAAACATAACACACTTATGGTAACAAAATCTGACTACTTTTTGATCACTTTTAGATTACATTTGACCTAACCTGTTTATCACATTGATTTGAATAGGATAATCTTGTTAAAATTGATTAAAAAATACAAAGAGATAAATATATATTCCCTTTGTTATCAACAACATAAAGCGCATTAAATATTACATTACTTTAGGGTTTCCCAGACTGGGGTTTGTGAGTTTAATTAAAAGCCATTAACAAATCACTTTATATTAAAAGAACATCAAAATAAAACACTTCAGATAAAAATATATATATATTTTATTTGTTCATCTCCTTGTAGTATGGAGAATCAATTAATTAGGAATAATTTACTGCCATTGTGAGATTAAAATGTAAAATAATGTAAATGTAATATAATCTTATTACAAGTGCTTCATTTTTGGAATCTGATTATGTTATATATGTTATGCAGATGACATGTAATCACTTACAATCCAGCACTGGCTGCAGGCAGGCGAGTTTTATCAGGGTTGGGGAAAGAATTTGCTTATCGTGGTTTTAAATTGTAATAATATTTTACAATATTACAGTATTATATTTGATTGTATTTTGGATTAAAGACCCCTGTGGTGCAAATAAAGTTTTTAAAGTTGTTTTATATGTCTATGTGGTGTTTTTAAGATGCTTCAAGACAAACCATGTGTAAATTCATCAGTCAACACAATTGCTGAGTATTGAACCAAAGACAGTCTCAAAAACGCTGTTTGAAATCGCTGTTGTTTCTTACGTCACAAACTACCTTGTAACCAATCACATCAATGTGTGGGCGGGCTTTAGCTTATCACTAACTATGAGCGCTCTGAGTCTCAAGAGAAGTCAGGTTATCCCGCTATATTTTTCTGTTGATATGAAAAACCGGGTACATTTAGCAATAAAGCGGGTGAATTATGTATATGATATTACGATGTTATAATGAACTATAATGCCTCTCACTGACATTTTCAATGGTTCAAAGCATTTCTAAGGACACTGATTTTTCGAAGGCAGCGGTCTAACTCTGAGATGGCGGATGGGAACATGGTTTATGTAACATTAGCAACACATTATTAGCTGTTTGAGAATGTAGTCAATCAAAAGCTAATCATATTAAAGGAGAACTCCGGCGCAAAATGAACCTTTGATCTAAAAACACATTGGTACATAGTCAATCGTTCTCTGAGATTTGTTTTCATGATAATCAAATGTAAAGAGTTTTATCTCTAAAAACTGTTTAGTGTATAACGCTACTATATGGGGGCATATAATAAGTAAAAAGAAATCGCTAGTTAATACCACTAACAAGGCTCAAAATATCCCCACACTAACACAGTAACATAATGAGGGTCCATACATGGAAAACGAAGCATTGAGAACTTTGTAAGTGTACAGACCGATTAATAAGAAGATACTTTATAAAGACAGTTCACTTCGTGTATACAGACAGGAGCCATCTTAGAAAATAGTCTTGATAAGTCGATCCCCGAACGCTTTTCATACAGTTCAGCTCACTTGGCAAGTCGTTCGTGGTTCGACTTATCGAGACTGTTTTCTAAAGATGGCTCCTGTCTGTATACACGAAGTGAACTGTCTTTATAACGTATCTTCTTATTAATCGGTCTGTACACTTACAAAGTTCTCAATGCTTCGTTTTGCATGTATGGACCCTCATTATGTTACCATGTTAGTGTGGGGCTATTTTGAGCCTTGTTAGTGGTATAAACTAGCGATTTCTTTTTACTTATTAAATGCCCCCATATACTAGCATTATACAGTTTAAAAACAGTTCACAGAGATTAAACTCAGTTTTTAGAGATTAAACTATTTACATTTGATTATCATGAAAACAAATCTCAGAGAACGGTAGACTAGGTACCAAAGTTTTATTAGATCAAATGTTCATTTTGCGCTGCAGTTCTCCTTTAATTACCGTTATGTGACCGACAATACATTAAAGAGCAATACCATTAGAAGTGTTTACTACAGTAAATTTGACAGAGTGAATCTCTGAGCTGAATGAGTAAAGGCTCATTTGCATATTCATGGATCTGCATATATTAAATGAAGCAAGGGTGTAGTTATGTTCAAGCTATTTTAAGGCATGAAGATTTTTGTTTATATTTGTCACTTTGGTAATCAAAGATGAGTTTTAAGGGATTCAATTATGGGGACTTTAAATAAATGCAGCCTTGGTGAGCATAAGAGACTGCTTTCAAAAACAAAAGAAATAATTATTCTCAAGTTCTAAACTAAATCGCCTGACTTGTTTTAAAAAGTACTTTAAACGCAATTAACCACAAACAAAAAAGGGGAGAGAGCATTGGAGGACAGGAGGTCTTTAACAAAGCACAAGTGAAAGAAACTAGCAAGCATGTTTGTTTGTGTGAGTTTGTATGCATTTTTAGGGTGGAGGCATGTGAACACTTGCCTGTTTTTGCTGTGATCCTTCTTTTCCTTTGCCTTTCTTGCCATGTTTGCTAAGGGGAACAAAAATACAAAAATTGCATAAACAATGTGGCCATCTGGTGGATGGAGAACTAAAACGAACTGCTTGTTTGCTACAGTACTTGTCCTAAAGTCTCATCCTCATGTATGCCTACAGACCTCCCACAACCTATTTAAGAAAATGGCACATAAAAACAAAATGTAAACCTAAATGTGTGGTTCTGCATTGTGCATATGGCTATGCAAGACTGGTTGGCTTACTACTCCCTAGTTTGGTTGGGGGTTCCATCGATGTATCGCTTATGACGTGTGTGTTTTTGTGTGAGTGTGTGACTAGTGGGGATCTAGGCTGTGTCTTGGTAAGAGTGTGCGTGTGAATAGGAGCGTGTGTGTCAAGGCCAGGCAGAGGGTCGAGTTTGGCTTGAGGGAGCAGATGCTCCCAGACTGACCTCATGCTCAAGCTGAACACTCTTCTGGCGACCAGGAAACGCATCAGATAGTAAATTGCCACAATGAGGATCAGCAGCCCCAACACAACACCAATGATGGCCCCTGTTATCACACCAGCCTGGACTGGAACTAAGAAAAAAGAGAGAATATAAAGAGAGTTTAGGTCTGCGGATTAAAGGCATTTTACAGTACTGATTTATTAGTTGCGCTGTCCCTCCCTTAATACACCTGTATAGTTTCTCACAGGCACAACTATATTACTGCAAACAACATCAATCAATGTCCACCCGGAAAGGTGCTCATATTCCCCTTCCAAACAAGCCGGCTTAACCCACAAATATTGTCCTCAGAAGTTAAACCTATTGTTTAAAAGGGAAACAAGGTGGGAAATCAAAAGCACCTGTGCAAAAAAGCATTAATTTGATGAATAAGGCTCTGTGTGAGTCATTTGGATCCAACAATGGCTATTTTTCACAGAAATGGCACTCTCTGAAAAAAACTAAAAATACTTAACTACACAAGGAAACCACTCAGGTCTCTGCTTTACTGTTATTTTGCTCTTCCATTAGCAGTAAACTTTCATCTCCTGCCATAAGATCTCAAAGATTTTGTATGCCACCCTGGAATAAAATGAGCCTAAAGGCAAAAATCAGCCTTAGCAACTGCAGCATGAGGAGAAAGCAAATGAGGAATCCAAATGGTTTTCTTGTATAACGTGTTCCTTAGTTTTTTTTAATTAGTGGATGAAGACAAAAATGTTCATAGTGATCGGTTACCCTTCTCAAACACCAGCAGCCGAACGGTGGAGGGGTGGCCGGCAATGTCAGGTGGGTTCTTGGCGTCACAGGTGAAGGTTCCATTGTCCTCGAAGTTGACATTCTTGATCAGGATGGAACCGTCACGGCGATTGGGGTTCCCCACAAACTCCAGGCGGTCCCGGAACGGGCCTTTGCTACCCTGGTAGGGAGCTCCGCCTGCGTAGTGGAAAATCTAAACAAGGAAAGAATGCTTATTTTATGATCACATATCTCATCCTAAAATTGAATATATCAGACATGATTATATCAAAGTGAGGAGTGAGTCTTAACAGCAAAACAGCCTATACAGTGTAAAATGTAAACTAATTTACGATCAAATGAAGTCATGCTATTCAAACCACTCTATTGCATTGCATGATTAATAAAATTTGATTTTGCCGGTATAAAGAAGCATCCACAAATGATTGAAGCTGGTCGGCCAACTCAAAGAATCGCACAGCGTAATACAATTTGGAAAGCAGCAGAACTACTCCCACAAGGGCCTAATATTTCTATTTGCATGGCAATTATCTCTACACATGGATACATGGATATTATTCCCAAGGGGTGAGCATGTTTTCATACAGATTTGTGTTACTGAACATTACCAGTGCACACTCTCCTTTTAACAGGTTTAGTAAAATGCAATCACACTATGCATAATAATTGGCTTCATGCTGTAATTGCATATTAAAATAATTATTGCTGCTCTCATGGACTGCCTTTTTAATTGTATTTTTAATTGTATTTTCAGATATTTTGAAATTTAGACCAACATTAAGGTATCCAGTTTAAAAGTTTTATGTGAAAATGTCCATTATTTGTTGTGGTCAGTTGGCTTGTCTGCTGAAAAATACCTGACGATTAGATTATTGCAACGTTTAACAAATAAATGAACTAAAATGCAGGAGTGTGTTAAATTAGCGGGTTTCTGTGTGTATGTGTGCATGTTTCTACGCACTGCGATGCCCTCTTTAGCCCCATCTGCACGGTAATGCCATGAAAAGGTCACGTCTGGAGAGGTCCACTGCCAGGAGAAGAAAGAGCAGGAGAGTCTGACATCTGTTCCCACCAAAGCATGTTTCTCCCAGCTTGTGTACACAACTATAGCCGTGGTCTGAGAGGCTTAAAACATACAAAAACAGAGCGAGGAATATTAGCATACATGGGGACACAAAAGAAATTTAAAAATAAAACCACAATGGTAGAAATTTGAAATTCAAACATACAAAATAAAATCTGTTTGATAAAAAGTCTGAAATGTTGCACTAAAGGATCATTTTAAATGATGCCCATGTATATAACATTTTCCCAAATGATTATAATAATTATTGTTAATTAAAATTATATCTAAGGATATAAATAATTGAATCATAAAGGTAACCTTGATTTCCTGGATGCAAAAAAATTCATAAAACAATTTTCAAATTCTATTTTTTAAAGACTGAGGGAAAATAAATACACATATGATCATATAAAAATGTAATATTTGTATTTTTAAGATACTCTGCTAAGAAGCTTTGCGAGTATTCCAGGTTGGCTACACATTAGAAAGTATTAAAAAAAGTTAAAATTCATCAAATTGAGAGCGAACACAAAAAGAAATGGAAAGATTCTCTCTATTCTGACTGTGATAGTCATTTCTGATCTACCTCATCTCTCAAACCTGGACAGTCTTGAACAGGTAGGCATCAGGTGCACAAAACACAGGTGAGTCTGAACGCACAATAATACTGGCATGTTGTACAGAAGCTAAAGTGAAGGACTTCTAGATGTCTTCTGGTTAGTTCGCTTCAAAGTTTATTTGCTTTGTTGTTACAAAGTAATGAAATGCAAGATGGATGAAATGTATTTACCTATGCCCAAGAGCACCACGGACGTCAGTGCCAGTACAGACAGCATGATCTCCCTCCGATCTCCCCGCAGGTCAATATGTAAAGGGGTTCCGAGAGAGCGAGGGATGGAGAAAGGAGAAGAGATGGAGGGAAGAAGGGAATGAGACCAGAGGGCATCAAGATGAGACTATTCAGTCCTGGACTTTAAACCCAACCACACCCCAAACTTAAGCCCCGCCCTCACCACCTCATTATCTCATGCCTTGTCTTTGGCGCCGTCCCTGATAGGACAGTCTCTCTGGCTCTCTCTCTTTGTCTCCTTCTAAAAGACTGTCTGTGTACAACGACATAGAAAAGGCGAGTGATACAATAACCTGAGAATGAATCCTCTCTCTCGTTCCCCAGCAAGTTAATAAAAGCATCACAGCATCTGTTTAACAAGGAAAGTTCAAATTTGAAGGACAAAGACACTGCAGCAATAAAGAATCTCTAAGTGAGTCAGATTATATTTGTAGTTCAGTGTATGTGTGTGTGTGTGTATCTGTGGCTTAATAGTCTGATACCTCCTTTCTCCTTATCCTGTCATGGTTGAGTGCTGTTTGTCTGTAATCCTTCCACTCTTATGCAGATGATTCGGCTCTATAAACAAAACACACCCGGAGAAGCTGACGGTCTGAAAACACAATGAGCTGTGGGTCTTTTCCATCTCACCTGTCCTGACCTGGTCGCCATCTGCCTGCCACTCACATTCACATTACAGAAAAGAAGATGGACTTAAAGGTGAAGTGTGTAATGTAAGCATCACCAAAATGGAAAAAGAGGAATAATACTTTCAAAAACGTTTCCAGACCATTCCCCTTGTCTGCCATTATTCGGTCAAAACAGGTTTTCACGACCCAAATTCAAGCCAATGTTTACAAAGCAAAGTTTAGATTTAGACTTCCGGAAGAATCAACCTACCTTAATTTGCATATTAAACTGGACCATAACTTCATCTTTAACCCTATAAACCCCACATACACTACCGGTCAAAAGATTTAGATCAGAAAGATTTTTTATGTTTTTAAATGAAGTCTCTTCTGCTCACCAAGGCTGCTTTATTTGATGAAAAAAAAAATGACAAACAGTAATATTATGACAATTTAAAATGACTGTTTTCTATTTTAATGTATTTTAAAATGTAATTTGAAAGCTGAATTTAGACATCATTAGTGTTACTGATTACACATCAGTTTTCAGTGTCACATGATCCTTCAGAAATCATTTTAATATGCTGATGTAATGCTCAAAAAACATAAATTATTATTTTCGATGTTGAAAACAGTTGTGTACCATTTCCCCCCCATAATGAATAAAGTTGTATAATGAATAGAAAGGTCAAAAGAACAGCATTTATTTAAAATATAATCTTTTCTAACATTATAATTGTCTTTACTGTAACTTTTGATCAATTTAACTCATCCTTGATGAATAAAAGTATTTTCTAATTTCTTTCCCTCAAAAATAAAAAATAAATTCTTACTGACCCCAAACTTTTGAATGGTAGTGATTAATGTTACAAAAGCTTTCCATTTCAGATCAATTCTGTTCTTTTGAACTTTCTATTCATCAAAGAATCCTGAAATAAAAATGTAAAAAAAAAAACTGTTTTCAACATAATACTCATAAATGTTTCTTGAGCATCATATTCAGCTTTGATCACAGGAATAAAATTACACTTCACTATATATTCACATAGAAACTGCTGTTTTAAATTGTAATAATATTTCACAATATTACTGTTTTTTTTTGTATTTTTGGTAATGCTTCCTTTTACAGTACAGTACTTACAGTGTACTTACCTAGAAAGTACTGGCTAAGATAAGGTAAGTACATGGAACAGGAGTAGTTTTAGGGGTAGGTTCAGGGTTAGTACTAATGAATTGTAGTTACTAAAATAAGTACATAGTATTTACATGGGTAACTGGACTGTAAAAGAAAGCGTTACCGTATTTTTAATTTTTTTATCAAATAATTGCAGTCTTGGTGAGCAGAAGAGCCTTCTTTTAAAAAGATTTAAAAAATCTTACCGATACACGTATGTATTTCTTAAGGTCTATAATGAAAAACCTGTTTACACAATCTACAATGCTTTGATCCAATGCTACAATGATTTGATAGTTGACCCAAAAATACAAATACAAAGCTTCATTCTGTACCTTTATAGCTTGCTTTCTTCTGCAGAAGATAAAAGACGACATTGCTGAATGCTGGTAACACTGACTTCCATTCTATGGACAAAAAACACAGACATTTCTCAAAATATCTTTTGTTTTCCCGAGTCACCCGTTTGGTACGACATGACTGAGTAAATGACAGATTTTTTTTTAATGTTTACATCTTGCAGTACTTTGTATTCAGAGCATCCATCTTTTCAGTTCATGCATCCCCTGGTAACTGAACCCATGACCAAGGCATTGTTGGATTTATGCTCTACTTGTTGAGCTACAAGAACTAACCCTTTTACAACTACATCTTTAACAACAAACAAGTTAAATGAATGCGTGGTGATGATAATATGACATCAAGGAGAAAAGCAAGGCGGTGGCAAGAGAGAAAGACAGGGAGAAAGAGAAAGTCACCTCCTGACCCTGTTTCTCTCCTCTCGCTGCCCTTTCACCAGGACACGTTTAAGAGATGAGACAAAGACATCTCTTTCTCCATCTCTCCAGATTCCTCTCCTCTGCTGACGTCTTCCAGACACAACAATACAGAAAGAGAGACAGACAGAATGACATGGGGTGAGCGGGCGGGTCTAATTTAGAGCTGCTTTCTTTCTCTTCCACCATCTGTAGACAAAGGTTTGCATTCTTTCCTCCTCCAGTCTCCCACCCACTCCACTTATTCCAGTAAGACGACAGTAAAACGGACAGAACATATTAGACACGGAAGATATAAACACATGGGTTGATATAAGGACACTGGCATAACAATATGACTGGCAAACTGGATAAAGGAAAATAGGGCATCGTTGTATTTTGGTCCCCTGTAAGATGCTTTAACAAATTAGTGTGCGTATCTTTACTACTTAAAGTCGCCAATGATATCAAAACTGACAATTCTTGTTTTGTATGGAATATTGCAGTATCTGTGCACATCTTCACTGGCCCTAATAATCTTTACAGGAGTAGTTCACTTTAAAAAAAAAAAAAAAAAAAAAAAAAAACTTTTGCTGATAATTTACTCACCCCCACGTCACCCAAGATGTCCATGTCTTTCTTTCTTCAGTCGAAAAGAAATTAAGGTTTTTGATGAAAACATTCCAGGATTTTCTCCATATAATGGACTTCATTGGGAACCAAACGGTTCAAGGTCCAAATGAGAGTTTCAGTGCAAACTGTTCAAAAGGCTTTAAACGACACCAGACGATGAATAAGGGTCTTATCTAGGACCCTTCGAATCATGACTCGAAAAAAGATTTGTTCATTTTGATGAACGAGTTTGAACAGGAGAGTCACGAACGCTCATCACAGAACAGAGCAATGAGAGCATTTGAGCTTATAAAACTTAAACTTTTTTATTTAGTTTGGAAATGAGCGATCGTTTCGCTAGATAAGACCCTTATTCATCGTCTGGGGTTGTTTAAAGCCCTTTAAAGCTGCACTGAAACTCTCATTTTGACCTTGAACCGTTTGGTTCCCATTGAAGTCCATTATATGGAGAAAATCTTGGAATGTTTTCATCAAAAATCTTAATTTCTTTTCGACTGAAGAAAGAAAGACATGGACATCTTGATGGGATGACATAGGGGTGAGTAAATTATCAGCAAAAGACAAGTGAACTACTCCTTTAACAAGGGTGCAACAACCTGTCACTCGCATGACATCACAATAGCAAACCAAAACCATACAAAACAATTCCCAGTGGATAAAATCTAGTCTGTCCTACATTTTTTTTTCTTGTTCGAGAAGCCATTTCACTGGGATATATGTCACAATGTAGGGAAGAAAAGACAACTTCTGTATCAACAAAAAGTTAAACTAGATTAACTGGTGAAAATGTTTAAAATGTCAATGTAATGCCATGAATGGCACAGTACATTTTGTATTAGTTTATAGGGGAATGACTAGGTTTTACCATTTACTGCAAAGCAAGTAAGTAAACAAGTTAAAAATGCAATGACAGTTTACTCAACAGGAGAAATGTAATGAAACACAATGGTCAATGGCTAACAAAAGCAGAGGAATATGTCATTTCTCCTGGTTTCCAAGGTTACAGGTCCCTTCTTTTTCCAGTTCAGATCTACAGGGATTGTGAGCCTTATTAGACATTTCTGCAAATATGCCAGTTTAGGCATTTTTGGGCAATTTACTGTAATCTCAGAGGGCATACAGCTAAAATCAAAGGAACAAAGAAGAATAAACAAGTCAAAGATGAGAAGGCATTAAAACAAGGCGATGCAATCGAAGTAACGCTAATGCGAGTATATTAGACAATGCTTGTTTGTTGCATACGGATGGAAATCAAAGAGCATGACCAAAGTGTTGACATTGGGTTTGACTTTGACAGCAGGACCAATCAAAATGCACCATCAGCTGAATCCCAAATGAGAGCTATTGGAACACACACTCTTGACTGACAGCTGTAGAATGAACGAAGGGAAAGAAAGACAGGCTGGAGAAAAACCTGCAAAAGAGAGAAAATTGAGAGTAGATAAGAGACGACTGTGAATGTGTGTGACGCACAGACGCAAAAAAAAAAAAAACAGTATACATGAGGAAAACCGCTGAAGTGTAGACTAATGTGAAATGATTGCATATCTGCTTTATAAACTGCTGAAGGAACCTTTACAAATAACTAAAAATATGCAAAACTACCACACAGATTTGCCTGGAAGCTTTGAAGGAAAGTCATTTTGTGTCAACCATACTGAAACATTATCACTGTTTTATATACTTGTAGGTGTTTTACTGGAATTCAAATACACATGCTGCGCTTATCACGTCTGTGGCTTAACCACACTTAAAAATCAAGGCTTCATAAGGGGGTTTTGTAGCTATTGCAAAAGGAGAGCCATTTTGGGTTTCCTAAACATTAAACAGCCTTACTTACGTTTCTTAAAAAGAACCATTTGTAATCAAATTTAGCTAGATCTTTTCTAGATTTTAACTTTATTATTATATTTTATTTTTTCAATAGCTTTCTAGGCCCAATGTGATTTTTGAACATGTTCCACTAACATTTCACAACATAAAAATGTTGCAATACTTTTAACATAGTTATTATTTTAACCCAAACAAACTATTAATTCTACTATTATTATATAATGCGTATGCGTGGTTAAACCAAATACTTTTTGAGGCCTTCCAGTGTACATTATATCTGATGACATTAGGCCTATAGGTCACCGAACAGAATACACACACTCTTTAGCCTTAAAACCGTCTGACATCATCAAACTAAAACCACGGACTGTTGCAGAAACACACACACGCACTCCTAATGGCAACAGAGCTGACATTCAGCTGGGTCACGTCGGGACAAAGCAGCGATCTGTCTTTTCTTCCTCCCTCCATTCTACCCTCGGCTCTTGTTCTCACATGGCAGGGATGTCACAGGGAGCACCAAAACAAGGGATGCAGGGAGAGAGATGAAGGGATGCAGAGGAGGGGCACAAAATGGAGAACAAAAGCATTGTTTGGACTCAAAGATGAGTTATTGTGTTGCGGAACCGTGTGCTGGAGTAGGAGTGAAGAATTGGACGGAGAGAGAGAAATTTGGGGCCATTGTGGCGTTAGACTTTCTCTCTGCCCCCTGTCAAAGGAGGACAGAGAACGGGTCTCGTTTGACACATTCCACCGGTTTTCTTGACCTGAAACACTCTCAGGGAGTGTTTGAAACTGTTTGCTGATAAGTTAGTGTGACACACGCGGTCCTCTGAGTGGGGAGCGGTTTATTTACCCTGAGGAAACAGATTCTGGCAGAGAGACATTGGAGTTCTTTCATACTCAGAGAATACAAGCTTAGATCAGTCAAGAAAGAAAATCGTCATTTACTCACCCTCATGTCATTCCAAAGTCGTACATCCCTAGTTGGATGATAAAAGGAAAAATTATGAAGATTATGTTAGTCGCTCTCCTCCATACAAAACAAGAACTGAAGCTTTCATGTTTCAATAAGAACACTCAAAATAATCATATAAGTGGTCCATATGACTCACATGCTCTATTCCTTTCACAAGTCATGATTATGTGCATAATGTACAAATGTGTGAGCAAGACTAAAATTTAAAAAGGACAGTTAAAAAAAAAAAAAACATTTACTCACCATCATGTCACCCCAAACCTGTCAAGACTATTTCTTCTGCAAAACAGATATTTTCAAAAACATTTGGATGACTGCTCAAACAAGTAAAAAAGGCCTTCAATAGTTGATTACTCCTCAAAAACATTTCAAAAATGTTTGGGTGACTGTTCAAACAAGTAAAAAAAGGCCTTCAATAGTTGATTACTCCTCAAAAATATTTCAAAAATGTTTGGGTGACTGCTCGAACAAGTAAAAAAAAGGCCTTCAATAGTTGATTACTCCTCAAAAACATTTCAAAAATGTTTGGGTGACTACTCGGACAAGTAAAAAAGGCCTTCAATAGTTGATTACTCCTCAAAAACACTCAATTTAAGGCTATGCTTAGAATTACATATTAGCAATTTTTAAAAGTAGTATGTGAAAGTACCCAATAATAAGCAATAACATTACATTGTCAAGTTTTTATGAACACCTCGTCCTTCCTGTTGGCATGTCAAGCAGAAATAGGAAATTAGAAATAGGAGATCAAGTCAAGCACATTGGATTATGGGATACACTTCCACACAAAATGCAGCAGGTCATTCATTTCAGGTACTCTCAGCAAAAATAAAATGCACATATGACTCTCCAGTTTTGGGTAAACTATTAAAGCAACCCCATGGAACCTTTCCTCATCGGTTGCCCTACTGTTTGGAAACGAAATTGTCCATTACCGCTGTCGTAAATAATTTAGCCAACCGTCGCATACGTGCGTTTTTTATCCAGCACCGGCTTTAGAATGAACAATGTCCACAGACAATGTAGAATATGTTACATGATTTCATGAAAGGATAATGTATTGTGTCATCAGAAACGAAATAATGACTATTGTAGCGTTTGACGTAAAGCAGTCGAATTTTGTAGTTCTTTTGTAGTTCCAAGCGGCAACAATCTAATCTGAAAAATGAAGCCTACCCGGAAGTGCGAAAATACATCTAAAATCCGCTAGAGGGGGGTCCCAAAAGGGAGCAAAATGTCCATAGACCCCATGTTAAAACGTCCGTTTTCACAGCATAAATTCATGTTTTTACAGGTTGGTCCCATGGACTTTTATTGTATTTTTGGATAGGTTCCGCATGCCTGAGAACTGTGAGGGGGGTGGATTTTTTTCTAACTCGTTAGTTTAGATCATATTTAGATATAAAATGTATGACAAATAAGGGCGGTTAACTTTTGACAGCAGATCGTGAATTTGACGTCTCAGCCATGATCTGACACAACACATACCATCTCTGTATCCTTTCTGAACATTTGTATTTCGTATTTCCCATACCCCCCATAAACAGCCTCAAAACTGTTCTTCAGAAATCTATGGGTGACGTCAGACGCTTTGTCCATATTTTTTACAGTCTATGGTTACTACCCGAACCCCGGAGTTCCATAGTGCCAGTAAAAGCGATACAGACCCCATCAGGCCATGGCAGAAGTGCCTTTCACCCTGTTACGACTTGATGAAGCACTGGTAAGATTTTGGAAACATTATTATAAGGTAAAAAAAAGTCACATAGTGTTGATTTAAAAAATCTTATAATGCTGAAATAAACAAAATATAAATATTAGATGAAAAACTGCCACCTAAGTGAAATAAAATGGGTTTAAGTTGAAGAACTAAAATGACTACATCTATAATATAAATTAAAGCAAATGTTATGATACTAAAACTGTAATTATAGATAAATAACTCTCAGTAAACATGCTGCATAGTAAAGGTAGTAAGCCATTCTGAGCCCAGCCTGTAGCATAACTAGATCAGTTCTTAAGATTCCAGTTAATAAAAAATCATGCAGAGTTACTACAAGGCCCCTTACTAATAAACAGCAAAGTCATTTAGCCAAATGCTTCAAGGCTCTTAAAAATCAATGTTCTTATCTGCAATCCAAACCAAGCAAGTACATTCAGCTCATGGGCAATTTTAATGAGCACGAACGGTTGAATTATTAATACTGTATTAATTTCACATTAATTAAACTCGTATTAATTCATTGTAATTCCTCTCTAAAAGACTTAAACAGATGGATGGAGCCTCTCCCATGCACACTCGCTATTACAAAAGTGTCAAAGCGACATTTTAAAATTCTCTTTACAGTCTTAACTCAGACAGAAGCGGTGTCAAACCCTGCCAGGCTCATTTCAGAGGGGGTGAGCAAATAGTGAGGAAAAGAAAGGGAATTCTTTGAAGGAAGCGATAGAGAATACAAAAGCGAGTGATGGAACGAAAGAGCTGGATAATTTAATTTTCCATCTTCGGTCACTGACAATAGAACTTTTGACCAATTCATTGAAAACCCACTATGCTAAAGACCCACTTCAACGATAAAGCACTCGCATGATCATCTGTTTAGACACACTATTTAACTGCCATCCGTAAAAATGAGCGAAACCAGACCACGAACAGAGACAAACATGTGGGATAGCATGTAAAGAACACAAAACAGACAAAAACCGTGGTGACAAATACCCAAGGCAAACAATAGTGAAAAGCAAGTGTTTATTTTCGCTCTATATAGTTGAAAGGCTATTTACATGTTCATTTCCATTTTTCATTAAGTCTCACAATATCACGCATTAAAATTCAGCATGTTAATATGCAACAAATTATATTGGAAAATCATCCATCGACCAATTGGAATGAGAGTAGCTGACAATGGAAGCGAATCAGAAAGCAGAGATCAATAGTAGTCCTCCAAATCTGGTTTGTCACCCTGATTTTGAATCTGCTGCTGTTTGTTGTAGAGTCCAGCAATCTAAGAGAGAGAGAGTGATGTGGGAGATCAGAACAGTTCATTTTGAGAGGGTGTGTTTGTGTGAGCCTGTGTGTTTCCAACTGTCGGGAGACAGGAATAAAAGAAAACCGAAATAAATGAACTGTGAAAATGAGGGGGGAAAGGAAAGAAAGACAGTGTGCCACGTAAAAAGATGGATTTCCTTTTACGGATCCACTTCACTTGCTGCACTAAATCACAATGTCACGACGCTCCGAACTATGCCAATGTCATCACGTTTGACTTTCAAGATGAAAAACTTTCAAATCTCACACTTCCCATCCTATTTGCCATGGAAGTACAACACACACAAGTATGGAGTCATATCCTGAGTTTTCCATGCATTATGCATTCATGACATTTGCCTTTAAAAGAAATGTCTCATGTGGGGTAATTACTGTTGACTCCTACATTTGTGAATGACAGACTGATTACATAAGTGAAACTGCTATTGGGCTTTTTCTACTTTAATACCTATTCTAAATTACAAACAATATAGATTTATTTATAGCTTAGTATATATATATATATATATATATATATATATATATATATATATATATCATGTATATAAATGACGTGTATTTATAAACTATTCTTATGTTAAACAGTCATCTTTGTTTTACATTTTTTGCAATATTTTGAACCCTAATGTCTTCCATGTGCCTTAATCTGTGCTTCCGAATCATTTCCTCCGCAGCACTGTGAATTTACTAGATGTGTAAAGTTTCCACTTATGTGTCTTCCTCCAAGTTTTTCTGTATTTCGGCTGTTACCTGTGATCCTGTGGTGGCATCCTCTGCTTTTTTGTCATCTCTAATCCTCAGGAATCTTGGGAAACGGAGTGAAATGCCTTTCTCTGGGTCCACCTGATGGCCAAGGAGAGAATCAGACCATAAAGACCCAAACTTCAGCACAATAAACTAAAATCTGGCACCAAGATCTGAACAATGAAAACATCAGTCACAAAAAAAATAAACAAATCACTGATTCAGCATCATGATTCACATGTGTATGGTGTACTGACCAATCCCATCGCTGCCTTATAGACTGGAGACAGTGAAAGATCAGCGCATTTCACCTCCCACACTTGCACTGCATCTAGCCAGACATCCGGCTCTGCTGATTGGTCCACGCGGTAATACGGCCGTGGTTTAGGTAAAATGTGCTCCTGAGGTGGATCGCATACAAAAAGATTTTATGCAGCAAAGTACTCACAAATACATGGAAACAAAGTGTAAACATTGATGTACCTTTAAGAAATTGTAATGCTGCTCCAGATCTTCATCTTTGAAGCCTGTTCCAATCTGACAAAAGCACAACACATATAATATTTATTTGTAATGTCTATTTAATGGTGTCTGACTAACTCAATTTTTGAACTAGTGTTCAAAATTTTGAGGCCGTAGAATTTTTGTATATTTTTATGTAGCAAAGGGACACTAAATTGATCAAAAGTGATGTCAAAGATATTTTAAATGTTACAAAAGATTTATTTTTCAAATATATGCAATAAACATAGTTTCCAAAAAAAAAAAACAGTTTTTAAAATCGATAATAATAATTTTCTTGAGCACCATATCAGCATGATTTCTGAAGGATCATGTGACAGAAAATTCTACAGGAATAAATTACATTTTAAAATATATAGAAATCGTTATATATTTCACAATATTACTGTTTATACCATATGTTTCAGCAAATATATAATTAATCATCATTCATTTCTTACAAAATCTGCCTCAAGTTAATTAAATCTGCATATGATGCAATTACTTAAATTAAAATCTTGAAAAGATTTATGGTCCTAGTTTTTCATGGTCTCTCTCAGACTAATGCACACACACACACACACACACACACACACACACCTTGCAGACAGACTGGAACTCCTCATTCTCCTCATCATAACAGGCTAGTAGAAATCCTCCATAGCTGCCTGTTCTCTTCCCTTTCCCCAGATAAGCACCAATCACACACAGATCCAATGTGTCTCCAACACCCTCCAGATAGTCCTTCTTCAGCTGCATAAACAGACCATTAGAAACAATATAACAGACAAGCAAATGACAGATCTGACAGTAGTATAAATATGAATAAATTGAATAAATAAACTCCAAGGAAACTTTTTTTTTATCTGTATCTTTTTTCTTGTACTGGAGTACAAAAACTAAACAAATCATTAAAACATGGTAAATGTACCCAAGAGGCAAAATGGCTCAAAATTGTCATCACTCTTCCTTGTCATTTCAAACCTTTACATTTTCATTCTTCTATGGAAGTTGAAAGGAGATTTTTGGCAGAATGACAGCCTCAGTCATCATTCACTTTCACCACACTGTTTTTGTACAATAAAAGGGAATGGTGACTTAGGCTGTCGTTCTGCCAAACATTTTATGTTCTACTGAAGAAAGTAAGCCACACAAGTTTTTGAAACATAAGGACCATCAAACCTCCCCTCCCCCCCGAGATTTAAGAAACTAAAACATGGGTTAATAAATTGCTGTGAGAATTGGAGGTGTTAGAGGGGACGGTTCATTATTCATTAAGGATGAATTAAATACTCAATTTGAATTAATGCCGAATTAATTGATGCATGATCAAATAATCATGAAAAAAATGGCTGCTGATAATTCAGCTTTGCCATCACAGCAATACATCACTGTTTTCAGCCTTGGTGAGCATAAGCAAAAGTAATTTGTAATTTGATATAGGGACACTTCATATACATTTGTAGGAAATTCAAGCCACAAATGTTTTATTTTACAAAACCATGAAGTAGTATCTTTTTAATAATCCAATGAATGAAATACTTTACAAATTAAAGGTACTTCATCTCATTTGATTTTCCTTTTGATTTGGATTTTGATGGATGCAGACCAAAAGTCTGAAAAAAACTAAATCACTCCCATTATAATCCACTAAACAAATGTAAACTGAACACAGTTGCTGATGTAGTAGACAACAAATTTCTGCTTTTTTAATCTTTAAACCTCAACACAGATATGTCACATAACATAAGGTATAGCAGAATCTCTAGTGGCCGTCTCGTTTCTACTGTCAGAGTATATATATTCCATCATACTTAATGTCAGGATACGGACACAGAACAAGAGAAAAGCCTAATGGAGTGGAAATTACACTTTAATGACTTGCACCTTCCTTCTGACTTTGAATACTTGTCTGGGTTTTATTTTTTTTAAACAAGTCTTGATGTGCGTGTGTCTGAGAGAAAGAGAGAAATAAAATCACTAGGACTGTCACGATAACCACAATATTGTAGTATCACGGTACTGACAAGCCAAAGCGCAGAGGAATGCAAGTAACTGCACCAACTGCGATATTCCGGCGATATTATTTTTTATAAGGTTATACCCTTCTTGTTCTGTACTTCGTGCATGTGTATTGAATTTTAAGTTAATAATGATAACTACACTGTTTATCATGGTGATTTGTAGAGGCTTCAGGGATTTGGATCAGGCTATTGAGCCATTTAAAATTACCGCGAGGGAAATTCCTTCACAGCGACAGTCCTGAAAATCACCTTTTTATTCCTGCAATCTGACTTTATAAAAGTAAACTTTTCTGAAAGTGTACTTGTAACTACATAGCATTCTAATGTTTAACCCTTTGGGGTTCTTCGGGTCAATAATGACGCGAAGCGTTTAAATAAACAAATCGTTAAAAATCGTAGCTTCATCGGAATGGTCCGAAATTTGGTGACTTTAATGGTACTTGGTATATGAACACCCAAAAAAATTGGGGACAGGATTTGAAAAGTCTAAGTGGTCGTAAAAAAAAGTGGTCGTTTTTTTCTATTATATTCAATGGGGGAAAATTTGGTCATAATTTTGCATTAATACTAATTATAAATTTTTGTATTTTTGAAATTTTCTCAAAACACCAAAAAAGAAAAGAAAAAAATATTATAAAAAACAAGTAAAAAAAAAAAAAAAAATTATGATTTTCTTTTTTTAAATATGAATCCCGTCCTTTGGGTCAATTTTGACCTGAAGATCCCGAGTGTGACTGTTAAACGAAGAACCCCAGAGGGTTAAGTGGACCTATTATGCTTTTTACAGTTTTTACTTTCTTGAGTGTAATATCGCCGTTTGAGCATGAAAAAGTTCTGCAAAATTAGAAAGCAAAAAATATGTTTCTGAAGTCTCTGAAATGCCTCAATTGTGGTCGTAATTTTTCTTCCGAGAATGTGGAAGCGAAGCGAAGAAAAGGACCAATCACAACACATTAGTCCAGCCAATCAGAGCACATTGTGCTTTTCGAAAGGAAAGTCTTCATAGAGACTGGAACTAAACAGAACATTACTAACAGACTGGGAGGAGGGGTGCAGCAACAATGTAAAATATGTGGATTTTTTTTTTCTTTTGAAAAGCATGAAAACCTATTCAAATAGACCTTTAAACAAAATCAAGACTGCAGAAGTGCATAATATGGCCTCTTTAACACATGAATATGATACAAGTTAAAAGTTTATTTAAAAAAAAAAAGTGTACAAATTTTTTAAAATATGGAAATACCTTGAGCCAATTGTGTGAGCGTTTGGCAATTTCATAAGTTGCATGTTTGTCCAATGTTTTCACCATTAGACCCTCACAAGAATCTGCAAAACATTTAAACCATTAAAAAAAATAGACAATTATAAATGAAATATTACTATTATTAAGAATAGAAGAATAGATTAGAAATGTCAGTTATTAGGTGGTTTGGCTGCAGAAACCACATTTCAAATTGGCAACCCCAAACAATCCCAAAATTGTTTAAGGTATAAAACTACAAATACAATATGTCCCAAAAATAAATGTAATAATATCTACACATTAAAATGCATAAATATTATCATGAACCGCACAGGTTCAACAATAGGGATGTCCCGATACCACTTTTTCACTTCCGATACCGATACCGATGCCGCACCTTTGGCTTTTGCCGATACCGATATTAGTCCGATATTTTTTTTTTTTCGTGGTCCGACGTGCCGTATACGGCCCACAGGGTGGTTTATAGGTTTAACTTTGTGAAAGACAAAACAAAACAAACACAAAAGTAAACATAATACATATCTTTGGAAAGCTGAGAAACTCGTGATTCGAACGACGTAAACCATTTTAAGATACAATCAACACAGCGGGCACAATCTGTCTCTTTGTCAGACCACCAACAGCCAAAACAAACCAACACAAACTGGAAGAAACTCACCAATTAGCCATCTGTTAGTCCACATTCCAACAAAAATGGTTTGGTTTCACTGTAAAGCGTCCATACAATCCAATTTGAAGAAGTTTTTAGTCCAAAACAATTGTATATATGAATAAACATCCATGGAATGTAAATAGTAGCATTTCGCGTTAGCCGACAGCGCTATCACAACTTCGACGCACTAATGCTACGTTCACACCGGACGCGAATAGGGCGTCAGGCGCGAATGATTTCAATGTTAAGTCAATGCAAAGACGCTTTACGCGCGTGAAAAATTCCTGCGGCGCGGAAGACGCGAATACGCCTCATTCGCGCGTCAAGTTGGCGCGAATTGAGCGTTGTGCATTCACGCGTTTGACGCGAATTCGCGTCTGCCGCCCGAGTTGAAAAATCTGAACTTTGGCGTGAATTCGCGCCGCGTTAACCAATCAGGAGCCTAGCTGCTTGCTCACGTGGTGAAGTGTCTGGATGCTTCAATAAATTGTTTTGTTAATATGACTAAATGCATGGTGGGATTATGCACAACAAAGCAAATGTTTCATCACTTAAAACATTATTTCTATATACGAGACATGTTCATTTTGTATTGAATGTTATTCATTCCATATCTAGAAATAGTATTATGTTGTAAAGACAATCAACATATGTGCATAAATTCGTGTCTGGACGTGAGAGAGAGAAAAAAAAAAATCACAGGACAGGTTAATAACTTTTGAAGGCTGGCTCTATTTATTATCAAAACAAAAATAAATGACAGCTAGATTAGATGGATGAGGGGCCGGGCGAGGGTGATCCTCGCTCAGATGCAGGACAACAGGTCATCAAACTGGGCGCGTGACAGGCGGAAGTACCGCTGACAGCGGCCGTCATCCAGCGCAGCTCCTGGAGCGAGCGAATGGTGAAACTCGCCAAACGGTTCGGCTCCGAAGGGTCCGGTGGACACAAATATACGGCGACGATGATCCCCACGCCGCTGTTCTGCTATCCAGAGTAAATACAGAGCGGTAACTCTCTTGATGAATGCTCGGTCGACATAAAAACAATGACCGCCAACGGATTTTGATTCTGACGCGCGTCACGCGCTTAAATTTCGCTTCAAACTTTACGCGCGCCAGTTTCGCTCTTGACACGCGAATTAACACTAGTGGTCAAGCGTCAAACTAGACGCGTCAGGCGCGAATTTGACGCGCGATTCGCGTCCGGTGTGAACGTAGCACTATTGATCCGTCTACAGTTGAAACGTAAACATTGGAGAAAAAAGAATGTCAAAATGGCCGCTGACCCATGAACTATTGATTGACAGGTCATTTTAGCCAATCGGCGAGTGTTAGGGGTGTCTTCTAAACTCCAACAGCCAACGAGCGTGCCTGGTGAAGATCGGTACCTACCTCTCTTTGAGTGACAGTTTATCTATCCAGTTGGAATAGAGAATGAAATGACGCTATTTTCTGATAGCCAATGAATTTCTGAAAAGACTGAAATGCAGCTTTTGTTCCGTGCGCAGAGCGAGAGTGATTCTCTGCGTGCGTGTGCGTAAACACAACAATCATCACGTGACAGGCTGCGCCGCTAAACTGGATATCGCTCATATTTTTTTCTCCCCTCCGATCTCCGATCTAGCGTTCTGGGCCGGTATCGGCGCGATACCGATGCCGTGGATCGGATCGGGACATCCCTATTCAACAATAGGCGAGTTCACGCACCTCGTACAGACTGCTCCAAGAACTCAGCGATGGTTTCCGTGTCGTCAGCATCCAGGGATCGAGCAAAAACAAACTCTCCTTCTTTCTCCTCAAAACTCTCCCGTAAAAGAGCCCTGCGTTTGCTTAGAGGCTCTCGTACCAGAGACTGCAAGACAGACACATTATTCACATGTAAACAGTGAAAATTCAGAAACATGCAAAATTATTCAAATTAGAGATGCACCGTATCGGCCAACAATCGGTATTGGCCGATAAAAGCTATTATTTCCACTATCGGCCAAAGGTTTAAAAACAGCCCGTGATCAGTGTCGATTATATCCTGTCAATCAAAAGGGTGCGGTAACACATAACCGACTGCAACTCGCACTGTATGTGAAAAAAATCTCTCGTGTTGAGTTAGTTAGGGCAAGTTAATGTGACGCATTAACAGATAAAAACAGCTACATAAATGCAGGCTCTATTTGACCCTATGAATCAGCCATAGTTCAAGCCAGGGTTGCCAGATCTACAGTTTTCTTTTCCCCTATACTAAACATTAATTGTAGCACGGCTCTTATCCAATAATCGCACATGGCTTTGTGCTTTGTTACTTCAAAATAGAAACAAAATGGACAGAATTTGAAAGATGACACTTTATCATGAAATTCAAACAATTAACGACATTTTGACTCTCCTGTGACGTTACAGTTCGCTGTATCACCTCAATTCAAGCGGCAGCGTGGAGTACGCTGAAGTCATCTTTCACTTGAATAAAAATTATATCTATAAAAACATGCGTGAATATCAGAAGGCAACTTACCGAAATCGGTCTCATGTAATCACTCAGATTTTTTAACCATGTAAATGTGTCAATAAAACAGTATGTGAACAATATCACTTAAAGGGGCTATATGTATTTTTTAGCGGCCTCTATCGGTGATGTTTCAGATTGCAACCAATGCGCGTGCTTGAACACAAGAGCGAGCACTCATAGTACACGGCCACACTGAGACTATCAACACACTGGAGAAAGCATCACAAAACATGCTGGAAACTCACGTAAACTCCCACTGCAACGTTACAATAATAGGATACTTTTATCAGTTGGACGTTGAACTAATGCTCCATGCTCGTACCATGATAACGTTACATTTTGAGGTGTTATCTAGCATAAGGCATTTCACTAACTATTCGTGCATCTTTCACAATCAACAATGTCAGCATAGGTGAATGTATAATCTGATAACGAAAACAGTTAGTGAACTAGACTAAACAATTTCAGTGTAACAGTAAGATTGTAGTAAGTAACATTACTGTACTGAACGTGTCTGGCAATGTGTATTATAAATAATATGATACTAGTGGGATTAATGACATTAGACAGTAGATCTAGTACATAAAATAAAAGTTACATCCTAAAGCACCTACCATTATTTTAGCATATCTGAAAACTTTCTGTCGATGTTGATCCGTGTTTACGTCCTAAGTCGTCCTAACAGATAAAATTTTGTTTTGTTTTTTATATTTATGTGGAGTTTGTGTTGAAGTGTGTGTTGTGCTGGAGGCAGGAGTTTGTTGGTGTTATCAGACTCCATGTCGTTCGCTGCAGTGCTGTCGCATAGACTGTATATAAAATGGAGAGAGGCTCGGGAGCGCGCATGGAACGTCACATCACATCTGATGGATTTCGCAAAAAATCCAACCCGGAGACTTCACATAGAAATATGAATACTGGCCTTCAGAGGTAATAGTAAAACCCAACAAGTGGATCCTTTTAATGTGTGATTACAACCCCCTCACACACAGGCAATATTTTTAGGCATTCGTTTTAGAAGAAAAGTTACATACAGCACCTTTAAGGTTGCATTTACCCAAAGGAAAGTCATTTGTTAGTTAGCTTTAAAAAAAAAACTAGTTTACCCTTATTTACTGTTAATTATACATGTATGTTTGAATAAATTTGCCATGAAGACAAGTGTTAATGAAAACTACCCTATATGTGTAACAGTTGTATACAAACATTTAAGCTTTTATTTGAGTGTAAATATTATATCTGGAAATAAATATAATAGCCCTGCTGTTCATTTTAACCTTGAGTGCTTGATCAGCACTCAACATTTGTTTGTTGTTGTTCATTTAACCGACGCGCAGAGACCGTGAGGGTGAGAGAGAGAGAGTGCCTGAACGAGTCCAGGGCGAGACAGAGTGAGCTCTGCGGTCTTGGCCATTAGTTGATTTACTTGCTTTTTAATACGTTGTCAAATATGTTTAAACTCAAATAAATCTAATACTAGTAGTTATGTCTCTTTGTATTAATGTGTCCTGTTATTGACATAATGCGACAAATAACAGGTCAATAACAAAACGCGCAACGGGATGTTCGAATATGTTTTTTTTTAGAGGGAATATGCAAACGGCATTTGAGCAATTTTGACAGCCCTAGTATGCATACGGGTGCTGTAACGAACACTGGTCATAGGATTAAGTAATGCCAACGTTGTTCTGTGCTTTTTGTGGGAGATTTATTCAGCGCTCACCTGGCTGAGGTTTGGACGCGTGTGGTGTGTGTCTCTCTCGCCATCGCAGTGATATTACAGACTAGACATGCTCATTTTATTTTATGTAGAAAAATTGAAACCATGCAGTACATAGTTCGTTTCTTTTAAAATGAAGTACAGTGTGCACTGTGCACTTTATTATGCTGGTTGCTGATGTGCAATAGTGTAATTATTTAATTTATGCTTAAATATTTATTTTCAGCACTGAACTTTTTTTGTTCTACTTTATGTTTTTAATATTTGTTAAAAAATTGTTTATCTACTTGTTCTTGTTCTACCTCACATGTTTTTACTATTTGTTAAATATTAATTTTTGAAGTTAGTTAAATGTTACTTTTATTAAATTGAGACCTGTAACATTTGTTAACATCATGTCATTTTTATGATGTAAATTGAGGGAGCCAAATGTATCGGCTCCAAATATCGGCGCAAGAAAATCGGCAGCCCGTATCGGTCATCGGCTAAGGCTGATGGGAAAAAAATCGGTATCGGCACTAAAAAATCCATATCGGTCGATCCCTACTATCGGCATCAGCCGATATCATTCTGAATAACTGACTACTGGTATTGGCTGAGAAATTACATATCGCTGCATCTCTAATTCTATTAGCTGTTATCATGGACTTACCTCTCCGTTGAGGTACAGAAGGTCAAAGGCGTAGACACACACTTGAACCTTGATCTCAGATGCATCAACATCCTGAAATACACAGAAAACGTTTTTAACATTTGGATTTGGATTGTTAATCATCATCATCAAAGATTTTTGACTTTCTTTTAATTTATTTTCTATATAAGGTCATAAATGCATAATAATCATAAAACAATTTAACAAAATGCAATTTAAAATTATTTAAGATGCAACATACAATGCATCTCACACTGCTTCCCAAAAGCTACCAGAATTTGTCTGTCCATATATTCGTTCACAATCAGTCTCAGTACTTTATTTAACCATTAAGTTTTGCATCTTCAATATTCAGCTGTTTCTGTTTTCAAATATCTCACCTTCCTCTTCCTCGTGGTGAGGACCTGAAACGGCTGAATCTGTTTCTTTTCTCTGTCCCAGGCCACCGCCTCTGAATCCAAAACACAGGACCGTACATTCTCCTTTTTCACCTGAGAGAGAGGTGATGAGGACATTTATTAAATCTACCATCAATACATGAATAAACTGGATCATCAACGCAGAGCACACCCTCACCCCGCAGCCATAACATCTTAAAATTACTTCTTTATAAGGTCACCTGAGTTTTAAACACTACCACTTCACAAACGAACAACACATCGAGCCCCCAGGCTGTGTGACATTTACACTTCAATAGATGTTACAAGTGCATATTGAGTTTGTGAGAGCTGTAGCAGAATGTATGCAGTGGTTTTGTAAATGTTTGTAATCTTTTCACACAATTGACTGCATTCATAGTTAGTGTTTTGTGACAGACTATCTAAATGTAACAGGTGTGACTGCTCATACAACAGCAGCTTGAATACAGTCTGTATGAATGAAGCCAGCTTTCCATTCAGCCATGATTAGAACATGTAACCATAATTCAATTTTGTGGTAATCAACATTTCACAACAAATGCTTAACTTGTTTAACTGATTAAGCTTAACTTGTACCGAAATCTGAATATTCTTTCTTTAATAAACTTTATTATTATAATTACTTGTTCAATCAAGTGCTAGTTTGTACATATAAAATGTTTGTCGCTATTTCATAACCAAGAAATTTAACCACATGTCTAAAACATGTCTGACAACTGTATTCTGCTGATGAGTGAGCATTAATTTCCCACAAGATATCTTGTTTGACTCAGACTTATGACAGTTCTGATTCTTGTACAATAATGAGATTTTGCACTGAATATCATACAACTGAGAAAAGCGAAGGCAGAGAGAGATATGGACACTGATAAGCAAAACAACAGCGTTTTCATTGATTTATCTGCGCACGAGCTTGTGTCATTCATCAAATGCTTTCTTTGCTTTAGGGCTGAAATCCATTATTGCTTTCTTGTGAGGAGAACAGAGCAGGATGACAGAGGACAAATATGGCCTTTGCAAAAGAGAGAGAAAAAGACAGATACAAAGAGAAAGAGAGAGTCTGTGAGAAAGACTCTTACACCGTGTCCAAACCAGGTCTCATCTTAACCATGTTAGTCTGAGTTTCTGCACAAATTTCGTCAGTTCCTTGCTTTTCTATTTTGATCGCGTCATGTTGGGCACCTCAACCCACAGTGAAATCTCATTTGATGAAAATTTCGAAACTGCTGCATATTCAACATCATATGTCCTGTCTGGCAGTGGTTTTCTCTTTCTAAAGGCTGGAACACATTACAAGATTTTTTTTCCCAAAAATTTGTATGCCGATTTGCAGTCTGGTGGAGTAGTCATTAGTTGCCAAAAGTCAAAGCCAGTCTGCAAACATTGAGGAGTCGAAGTTGACAGTTTCTGCAGAAAATCGCGTGAACATATTGTTTTAATTTGCCATGTGTCTCCTAATAACGAGCCAAATGTTTCTGCTTGAGTTTGTGTTTGGAACAACTTGAAAGTCATTTAGGTGTTTTCCTCTTTTACTTTTAATTAACATCAGCAAGAGAATGATACCTAGTATTATAAAATCTGTTCAGAATTTTAAAAGGTCAATTGATGCTTGCCCGACTGTACCAATTGACCTCAGTAATATATTGCGTAAAAGCCCAGGCAGACTGTGCAAAATTAAATGTTTTGACAGTATAAGGTACATCTAAGATTTTAGTTATAAATGACAGAGTTGACTAGACACTTGCCCCCGGTATCACAGACCAGGCTTAAACCTAGTCTCAGACTAAAATGCATTGAGCTGCTTTAACTGAAAGCAACTTGCACTGGCATAACTTAAAATATGTCAGTGCTATTGATTTGTCTCAAGATGAAGACCAGTAATGTATTTTCTAAGGCAAGCTACTTAAGTGTCCTAATTGAACTAAGGCCTAATCCTGGCCTTGAAGTCACTAGAAGACTGTTTGTTCTGAAATACACTATTTTATTTTTTTCATATTTCCTTTATTCAATATTTGTATGATTTAATATTTTCCATTTTCATTTTATTTTTAGTTTAAGTTTCAGTAACTTTATGTGCTTTGTCATTTTTGGTAGTTTTATGTTGTCTATTTCTTAATATTTCTAATTGATTTATTTAATTATTGGAATAATTAATGTATATAATTAATTTGCTGTAGAAATTTTAGTACTTTTAAGTTTGTTTCCAAGGCAACATTTATAATTTGGTGTAATAATATATATATATATATATATATATATATGAAGAGCTCTTTTCCAAAACGCTATAAATCCATTTCAATAGTTTTCAGGAAAACGAATCGGTTACCTAACGTAACCTCGGTTCTCTCTAGATGAGGGAACGAGTATTGCGTAAGCTAGCTTACGCTACGGGAAAGATTCATCTTTGCTGAGAAGTTGAAGCCAAAAAATTATTCCATAATTTTGTAATCATTGTCAACGCAGTCTCTTCTGAGGCAGACCATGAGCGGGCTAGCTAGCGGCTCATTGGTTCGCTCAGAGAGAATGCACGAACCTATGGGAGAGCGGCGCTGAGTCCGCGGCCAATGAGCGGACGGCGCTCGCTTACTGCGTCACAGCCCGCCAAAAGGGGCGTGGCTACAGTGTATAAAGGTCGCTCTCCCAGCTCGTTCGTTGATTCTGTAGCATGAAGCGAAACGCTAGTGGCGCAAGCACGGCCGGGAACGCAATACTCGTTCCCTCATCTAGAGAGAACCGAGGTTACGTTAGGTAACCGATTCGTTCTCTTACGAGAGGTTCTCTCGTATTGCGTAAGCTAGCTTACGCTACGGGAACACCTGGTCAACGCCGTGCGCGCTAAGTAACCACTAAGCATCCCAGGGGAACACCGGGGGAATCTATAAGTGGATGAAGATAATACGGCGGCCAGATAGCGGCCGTTACTATCTAGTGCAAAAACGCCCAAGGCGGCCGGCGAAGGCGGGCCGTGATGTGAAGGCTAATGCATAAGCACATAGGGGAACACAAGGGGTGAACCGGTTGTGATGGAACTCCCGATAGTGCGGCTTCTATAGGAGGGCTGTGAGTACTAGACCGCCAGAATTTTAGCCTGTAAGGCTGGAACTTCCAAGTTGTAAAATCTGACAAAGGTGGAGGGGGAAGCCCATCCCGCAGCCACACAAATGTCGTGGATGGAAATCCCGCAGGACCATGCCCACGATGAGGCCATGCCTCTGGTGGAATGAGCCCTGATGCCCAGAGGGCAAGGCAGGTCTTTAGTGGCATAAGCAGAGGCAATCGCGTCTACTATCCACCTGGATAGGGTCTGTTTCGAGGCGGCTAGTCCCTTGGTGCGGCCACCGAACGACACAAACAGCTGCTCCGAGCGTCTGAACGCGGCAACGCGTGTAGTGTACACTCTGATAGCCCGAACCGGGCAGAGGCGGTCAACGTCACGTTCGCTATCGGATGCCGGCAGCGCCGATAGAGAGATCACTTGCGCCCTGAAAGGGGTACCAATCGCTTTTGGAACATAACCGTGTCTAGGCTTTAGAATGACTATGGAGTCACTCGGTCCAAACTCTAGGCACGCGGCGCTCGAAGACAGCGCGTGAATGTCCCCCACACGTTTTACTGAGGCGAGAGCCGTCAGAAGAACGGTTTTTAACGAGAGGTATTTTAGCTCCACGGACTCAAGTGGTTCAAACGGTGGGGCTTTCAGAGCTTCTAGAACTATAGAAAGATCCCAGACCGGCACCGTAGGGGGGCGAGGGGGTTCATCCTTCTGGCTCCCCTGAGGAAGCGGATGATAAGCTCGTCTTTGCCCAGAGACTGGGCGCGCCGGGGTTCAGCGAACGCCGCGACGGCTGCCACGTAAACCTTAAGAGTGGATGGGGACCTGCCCTTATCCAGCATCTCCTGAAGGAACACTAGCAAAGACGAAACCTCGCACGTCCGTGGGTCCAAATTCTTGTCGGTGCACCATTTGGAGAACACAGACCATTTTGCAGCATAGAGCTTTCTGGTAGAATCCGCTCTGGCGTGTTTGATCGTGTTCAAAACCCCTTCTGGCAATTCGACGCGTAGTCGTTGGTCACCCATGCATGAAGCGCCCAGCGCTGTGGATGGGGATGCCAGATCGAGCCGCGGGCTTGAGTGAGGAGATCTGCTCTGATTGGAATGGGCCACAGGGCTGTCTGTGACAGCCGCGTTAGCTCCGGGAACCAAATCTGATTCTCCCAGCGCGGGGCTATGAGGAGCACCGAGTGGCGTGAGTCCCTGATTCTCTGAATGACCTGCGGTAGCAGAGAAATCGGGGGAAAAGCATAGAGCGGGCGGCGGGGCCAATCCTGGGCTAGCGCGTCCTCGCTCTTTGAAAAGAATATTGGGCAGTGAGCGTTCTCTTCTGACGCGAAAAGATCTATCTCCGCTCTGCCGAATAGGCGCCACAGTGTTTGGACTGTTTGAGTGTGCAGGGACCATTCTCCGGGGGAGACCAGGTTCCTGGACAGCCTGTCTGGACCGTCGTTCAGATGGCCCGGCACGTGCGTCGCTCTGAGCGAAAGCAGGTGACTCTGGGACCACAATAGGATGCGGCGTGTCAGATGAAAGAGATTCTTGGATCTGACGCCGCCCTGACGGTTGATGTATGATACCACGGCCATATTGTCGGAGCGAATCAGGACGTGGTGACCGTTTATGCGCGGGAGGAAGCACAGCAGCGCGTTCTCGACCGCGATCATTTCCAGACAGTTTATGTGTAAGGAACTCTCGTGGCTCGACCACTGGCCGGCGGCCGGTGAGCCCTCGCAAACCGCTCCCCAACCCGAGTTGGATGCGTCTGTCGAGATGACTTTCCGGCGAGAGAATGTTCCCATGGTAACGCCCCTCTGAAACCACTCGCTTGCTGCCCATGGCTGCAGTGCAGTGATACAAGTCTGAGTAATCCTGATCATCTGGCGGCCCGTCGTCCACTCGTGGTGGGATACGCGGCTCTTTAACCAGAATTGAAGGGGGCGCATGTGCAGGAGACCCAGCTGTAGCGCAGCGGAGGCTGAAGCCATATGACCCAGCATCCTCTGAAGCGATTTCAG